CCTGTACCCCCCCCACCCAGAATTGTCTGCTTGCAGCAGTTTTCCCTACACGCGGATGCTCCAGCACCACATGGTCCCCTCCTGCATTGCTGGATGGTGGGAGTAGGGGCATGCTGGTACCCCAGGGCCAGGAGAGGGTGGAGAGGGGGGGAGAGAGAGAGAGCAATGAGACAAGCATACAGTGTGTGTCTAGTGAGGCAAGCAGTGTGTGTGTGTGTGTGTGTGTGTGTGTGTGTGTGTGAGTGTGTTTGTAGGGTGAGTGTCACAAGCACCCCCCACCATACACATGCACCCATACCCCCCTCGCACTGCCATACATGCAAACCCCCACACCCCTTCACACAGCCCAGCCACCCTCCCCTCACACACAGCCCCTCACAAACCCCATACCCACCCACACGCCCATATCTACGCACATGCTCCCTCGCCCCATACTGACCTCCCACAAACCCCTCCACACACACCTGCAACCTCCCCCATATACCCACACCCCCCACAAACCTATACCCACTCCCATGTCCCCCACCCCCCAGAGTTTACAAGAGTAAGTCTTCATTTTAAGCTATTGTGTGATCACCTCTGTCCACTACACAAACACCTGTAAATCAGGACAAAAAGATTTTTTGAAATCAAATTAATGAATGTTGTAGAATGTAGATGTTTGATTTTTAGAATATAATTTGATATTTTTCTGGTTCTGAGATGGCAAAACCCCTTGCTGAAAGGAATACTTCCGGGGGCAAGGGGAAGGACCTCTGGTGGCAAAGGTCGGGGGTTAGGGGGTGGGACAAAACTTGGTAAGCAGCCTTCCGCCCAAAATAATTGCCCACCCCTGATGTAGTAGTATTAGGAAAGGTACAGAGAAGGGTAGCCGAGATGATCAGGGATATGAAGCAAGTGCCATACCAGGAGAGAGAAAAGGTTAGGATGTTTTTCTTTGGAAAGGAGAAGGCTGAGAGGGGATATGATGGAGGTCTGTAAGATCATGAAGGGTGTGGGTGAAGTGGATAGGGAACTTCGATTTACCAAATCCCAGAATACTAGATCTAGGGGGCACCCACTGAAATTAGGTTTTAAACTTGTCTCCTAATTTCAAGTTTCTATGAACTATGAAACTATGAATACTAGATCTAGGGGGCACCCACTGAAATTAGGAGACAAGTTTAAAACTAACAAGAGAAAGTACTTTTTTATGCAGAAGCGTAGATAACTTGTGGAACTCATTACAGTTTAAGGTTATAAAGGCAGATAATATAGCCAGGTCCAAAAAGGGACCAGACAATGGATGAAAAGATCCATTAATAGCTAATTCAATGGAATAGTTAGGGATGTTTCCTCTGGCATTTCTAAACCAACGATGGTGGATGTCACTGAAGGTGTAACGGGATAGGTCACTCTACATATACCCTGTTCATATGTTCTCTCTCTAAGCATTGACTACTTCTACTGTTAGAGACAGGACACTGGACCAGATGGACCATTGGTTTGATGGAGTATTGGACTTTGTGTGTTTCTAAGAACTAGATATGCGTCTGTGAAACTTAGATGTGACTCAAAGCTGGTCATATTGTAACTGTGGAGGAGCACTGAAAGAATTAAGAAAACCTTGTGGAGTGAAGAAATAGAAATAGTCTATATTTTAATTGTATGAAATACAAAGTGAGGTACTTATGGATTCCTGACAAGGAGACTGGATAATGGAGCAAGAGAGGAAGCCACCAATATTTTGCAAGTGTTAAAAAGTGCAGTGCAGTTCTGACGGTTGTTAGTGGGGTATTTCAAGTAGAGATGAGTATCAGTGCCACAGTACAAGGTGTTGGTAAGAGCCCTGTTTAAAATGTTGTATATAGTTCTGTTCACTTGTGTTCAAGAAAGTTGAATTTAAACTAGAACAGGACGAAAGAGGAGGGTTCAGGGAATGGAGAACATGTCTTAAGAGAAGAGATTCATAGATTCATAGACATTAGGGCTGGAAGGGACCTTGGAAGATCGAGTCCAGCCCCCTGCCCTAGGGGCAGGAAGTCATCAGGGATCATAGGATCCCAGCAAGATAAACATCAAAATGTGTCTTGAAGATGTTCAAAATAGGTGCAGCAGTCTATTCCAAACCTTGGGGCCTTGGACATGAAGAAGTTCTTCCTTATGTCCAGCCTGAAACGGTCTTGGAGCAGTTTGTGACCGTTTGACCTTGTCATCCCTTGGGGCGCTCTGGTGAACAGATGTTCCCCCAGATCCTGGTGAACACTCCTGATAAACTTGTAGGTAGCCACCAGATCACCCCTGAGCCTGTGCTCTTCCAGGCTGAAGAGTCCCATGGCTCTCAGCCTTTCATCATAAAGTCTGTTTTCCTGACCTCTGATCATGCGCGTGGCTCTCCTCCGCACTCTCTCTCAAGCCTTTTCACATCCTTTTTGAATTGTGGAGCCCAAAACTGGATGCAGTACTCCAGCTGCGGCCTGACCAGTCTTGCATAGAGGGGGAGGATCACCTCCTTGGACCTGCTCGTGATGCATCTGCGGATGCATGACAAGGTGCGGTTAGCCTTCCTGACCACGTCCTCACATTGGTGGCCCATGTTCATCTTGGAATGAGTAATGACTCCAAGATCCTTTTCTGTCTCTGTGCTGACGAGAAGGGAGTTCCCCAGCCTGTAGGTATGCTGCTGGTTCTTCTTCCCCCAGTGCATATTGCTTATATGTAGTATTTGTATTCAGGTATTTGGAACTTTTGTGATTGGGCTGAAAGCAAACTCGGGTTCTTTCTGGGGAGAAAGTTCTTTATTTTGCTTCTTCTGAAGCATTGGCTATTTGGCTGGAGTCTACTGATACTCCTTCTGCTACTTACGAATTTGATTGGAGGGGCATGCTTAATATGCTCAGGGGCACCAGATTTAGGTTAAGGGAGGATTTTTTGCTCCTAGGCTGGCAAGGACCATGCTTTTTTTGTTTTGCTTTGGGATTTTTGTTTGTTTTCTTAGATATCCTTCCTTTGTAGTGCAAGACATGTTTCTCTTCTTAGCATGTATTCATAGAATACATTTCTTGTCATTATTGTGTCAATGTATTGTTAGCACCCTTGGCCCCCCTGTTCCTTACCTATGGCGTGTTGTAGGATTCGGGTTTTTTTCTGTTTTGTTTAATGGTGTGCTTTGTGGCTTTGTTGTGTAAGAGCTGTCAGCATAGATAGTCTTGTGGACTTTTTAGACAACTATTTACCTGCAAATACATGGGACTGGACCCAATGGCCCAAGTTGTTTCTTTCAGTATTCCAATTGCCTGGCTGGAATTAATTCAAACGTGAGCAACATTTGAGATGAAAAACTGCCAATTTTATTCAGCTTATTCTTTAAGTCATGCATTCATAGAAATTATTGTGGTTTTCCCTTAGAACCTTTTTATAACATAGAAGCTGTGGGCAATTCCCAGAGTTTTATCCAGATGCATTCTCCACTCCCTGAAATTCCTCAGGATGAAAATGCTGCTGAATCATGGGAAACATTAGAAGAGGTATGTTGGAATTCATGTATTGCCACTTTATTTTCTCTTTCTTTTAGTAAGTTCATACTAAGCAGCATTTTCTTTTATATTTGTAGGACTTGATTGAACTCAACCAGCTAGTAACTGACTTTTCTCTGCTAGTCCATGTAAGTGTTTAAATCTTATATAAAGAATAGTGGATGGGGGGTTTCACAGGACTGATAAAGGTTATAGGGAAGATTTGTATTACCACTGTAAAGGCAGATTAAGTGGGTACTGTTTGATGGTGTTTCAGTGGCCTAACATGAAATAAGGTGCTACAGTCCAGTTTTTAGGGTTTAGAAGTTGGTATCTATCATGCGTGCCATTGCCATTTTGCCTTTTTTAGCATCTTCAGGAAAGCGGGAATGAATAGAGTCAGAACAGTCCCATTCCTCTTCCCTTGTATCCTCCCCTCCCTCCAAAGCCATTGGGGATGAAGCACTCAGGTAAGGCTAAGAGGGAAGACTGGAGTATTGCCATCAGTAGAAGCGACCCGAATTGAAGTATTAGAGGAGATTGTCTAGGAAATTGATTAACTTAAACAATGGCATATCATCAGGCCTGGATGGTATGCACCAAGAATCCTGGAGGAGCAGAATCCTTGAAATGCAGATCTACCAACTTCAGTGTGTAACGTGTTACTAAATACAGCCTCTGTACTGAGTAAGTGTAAATATACTTGCTGAATAGGTATAAATACCTTCCTTTAAATGGAGGAAGGTAAACAGTGGGGTCCCAAGAGCCTGTCCTGGGGCTTGTTTCATTTAACATTTTTATCAATGCTTGGGAAAGGAAGGTGATTGGGTGGTGGCCAAGTTTGCAATTACACACAGTTATTCAGGATGATTAAAAAAAGTTGATTGTGAAGAATTGTTTGATGGATGATTAAAAAAATAAGTTGATTGTGAAGAGTTGTTGACATGTCTTGTAAAATTGAATAAACAGGCAACAACATGACAGATAGGGCACTTTTACAAGTGCTCCAGGGTTGGGAGGGAGTGGGGAGAGTGCTTTAATTAGAGCAGCTTCGAGAGCCACTCTAATTAAAGCGCCACAGAGTCTTGTGTATCACTATCCCCACACAGGGGCACTTGAACCAAAGCTCATTCAACAAGCTTTTGTTAAAGCACATCCACTGACATTTTGAAGAGCAGGCACACTGATATACAAGACGTGGGAGGCTGCTGGAGCACAGTAATTATCACGCTCCAGCAGACTTGATTAATTGAGTCTGCTCTGACGTGGTGTAATTACAGCGCATTGGAGTAGCCTCTGCGCTTGTGTAAAGGCACCCATAAAGTTTAATTTTGATAAGGGCAAAGTGATACATGCAGAAAAAAATAATGGCAGACAAGGTTTTTTGGGCGAATCTGATATCTTTTATTAGACCAACTTAAATCGTTGGAAAACAATTATTAAGCAAGCTTTCGGGTTCAAAAACCCTTCGTCAGGTTAAGGGAGTTTCTGCAGTTGGTGTGTGCTCTTCCTGGATGGAATGAAAAGTAAAGAAGCCAGAGGCTGGTCTGGTCTGGTATGCATTCAAGACTGGTAGTCAGTGAAAATGTAGATCTACAATGGGAGTACTAGTTTTAATGAGCATTAAAGTGCATTAATGCACATGTAGATGTGCCCACAGTGAAATTATTACAGACCAGATTTAAAACTAATGAAAGGAACTTTTTTTCTCACAGTATATAATTGCAGATGACAATAATTCAACCAGGTTCAAAAAAGGCTTAGACAAATTTATGCAAGATAAATCCATAGGTGGGTATTAAACATGATAGTAAAGCTGCAACCCCAAATTAGGACTTTCTAGGCCCCTGAATGCTAAAAGCTGTAAGGGAAGAGGGGTAAGGGACAGGCCAGTCTACTTAGGTCCTGCAAAAAATATTCTTCCTCTTAGCTTCTGTTGTGTGCCACTGAGATACAGAGTACTGGGCTAAATGTACCCATGGTCTGATCCAGTATGACATCTCTTTTATACTGCATCTCTTCTGTGGATGAATTGAGCATTTCAGAATCTATGATCATATCTAACCCTCTCCTGGGAGTCCTACATGATATGCTTATGGATGTACAGAAATCCTTATGCACAGTGTCAGTACGTTAAAAGTATGTTGAGGAAAGATACAGTCCAAAACTAAACCTAAACTTTTGATCTCAGTTATCTTCCTCGAAAAATCTGTATTTCTACTGTCAGACACTCCACCTTTAGAAATCTAGATATAAAAATCACTTCTGAATTACATACATACATTCTAACAGCATTAGGATCAGAACCTTAAGGTCATTAGGTAAAGAGCAGGACTATGTCCTAACTCATTAAAGCCAAAAGCCTTTGAATCTTCTCTGAACTATTAACAATGCCAGTAGAGAATTTGCTTTGCTTTACTTTTTTGTCTTAGCAGTGACTGCTTAAGAATTTTGTTGTGTTACAACATTACTATGCTGAAAGCCCTCATGAGGTTTTTAGGATAATGGTTTACATTAAATTCTCTAGGTATAAGTTTTATGTTTGAGTCTTACTCTTGTTTTTCAAGCATATTATATTGCAGCAATTAAGAATATTCAATTGCACTAGCCTAAAGGGTACTTGATTGCCTCATTGCAAGATAGCCTGTGCTGCTTAGTGAACAATAGTGGTTATTAATGGTCTTCTTTCTGTGTATCAGCAGCAGCTTCATGCTGCATGTCCTGACTAGTAGCTCTGTTGGTACTCTATTGAGACAATTTTCTGCATACCTAAATTCTTCTTAGTTCAGAGCAGTTACTGTTGGCTGCTCCTTGGTCCTTGATTTACTCAGCACAGAAGTCACTGAATAGCATGACTTCTGTCCAGACTTGTTTCTCAGATTCTCTAGGTCACATACTAATCATCAGAAATATTGGAACATGAGGTGCAACAGGTTCCTTAGCAAGGTCCCTGCCATTTTAAACATTATTTCTAGTTGTGGTAAGAAGGATGAGGGACTCCAGCCAAGGAGACTAGAGTCTTGCAGATGGTTTTTGTCTTGCCAGGACCACAGGGAAGGAACTGCATTCCTCTGCAACATTTTTGAAAGGAGGAAAACTGTGCAAACATTATGCACGCACTCTGTTCTGTCTGTTCTTTATCCCATCTGCATCACAATACATTGCACCAATTTTACTACATACGGGTTTTGGAAGTGATGGAGGGGGAACCAGGGAACTACAGACTGGTCAGACTCACCTCAGTCCCCAGGAAAATCATGGAGCAGGTTCTCAAGGAATCCATTTCTAAGTACCTGGAGGACAAGGTGATCAGGAACAGTCAGCATGCATTCACTAAGGGCACGTCATGCTTGACCAACCTGATTGCTTTCTATGATGAAATAACTGGTTCTGTGGATAGGGGGAAAGCAGTGAATAGGATATACCTTGACTTTAGCAAGGCTTTTGATATGGTCTCCCTCAGCATTCTTGCAAGCAAGCTGAGGAAGTATGGGTTGGATGAATGGATTGTAAGGTGGATAGAAATCGGGCTGGATCATTGGACTCAATGGGTAGTGATCAATGGCTCAATGTGTAGCTTGCAGCTGTTGTCTAGTGGGGTTGATCCCTGGGCTGGTTATGTTCCGTATCTTCATTAACCATCTAGAGGATGGGATGGATTGCACCCCAAGCAAGTCTGCAGATGACACCAAGCTGGAGGGAATAGTAAATACACTGGAGGTTAGGGCTAGGATTCAGCATGACCTAGACAAATTGGAGGACTGGGCCAAAAGGAAATCTTACGAGGTTCAATAAGGAGAAATACCAAGTCCTGCACTTAAGACAGAAGAATCCCACGCACTGCCACAGGCTTGGGACAAACTGGGTAAGCAGCAACTCTGCAGAAAAGGACCTGGAGGTACAGTGAACAATAAGCTGATTATGAGTCAACAGTGTGTCCTTGTTGCCAAGAAGGCTAACAGCATACAGGGCTGTATTAGAAGGATCATTGCCAACAGGTCAAGGGAAGTAATTTTCCCCTCTATTCTGCACTGGTGAGACCACATCTGGAGTACTGTATCCAGTTTTGCCCCCCACCACTCCCACTATAGAAAGGGTATGGACAAGTTGGAGAGAGTGCAGTGGAGGGCAGCAAAAATGGTGAGGGGGCTGAGGCACATGACTTCTGAGGAGAGGCTGAGGGAACTGGGCTTATTTAGTCTGCAGAAGAGAAGACTGAGAAGGGTTTTGCTAGTACCTTCAACTACCTAAAGGTTGGTTATAAGGAGGATGGAGCTAGCAGTTCCCAATCTGTGGTATGGGTATCACCAGTGGTACGCAGACAACCTGTCAGTGGTACGTGTTAACAGATTTATTACAGTTACTTTATATGACAAAAATTTGCTGGTGGTACTTAAGGTTGTATTATTTTAAATTAGTGGTGTGCAGTCTGTCAGAGTTTGGGAACCGCTGACTGTTCACATTGGTGACAGATGGCAGAACAAGGAGCAATGGTCTCGAGTTGCAACAAGGGAGGTTTAGATTGGATATTAGGAAAAAAAATTCTAACTAGTAGTGTGGCACTGGAACAGATTACCTAGAGAGGTGGTAGAGTCTCCATTCTTGGTGGTTTTTAAGACCTAGCTCAACAAAAAGCCCTGGCTGGAATGATCTAGCTGGGGATGGTCCTGCTGCAAGTATGGGGTTGGAGTAGATGCCCTCTTGAGGTCCTTTCCAACCCTGATTTTCTGATTCAAGCCTACACCTCATAGGTGGTCTATAGGTTATTCTGGGCGGGGCCTTTCCACCCATCTTGTTGCAGTTGTTCCTTTATGCAGAAAATAATTCAAGATTCTTTGAGCCTGAAAGGGCACACAAAAGGAAGCCTGATTCTGTAGCCTAGTGGTGGAGTGTTTTTACCTGGCAATGAGAACCCATTTTTTTTGGTCCTTGTTCTTAGGAAAGTTACATGCAGCAATGGGTAAAATAGAGCATCTGTAGTGCCTAGTACTAGGCAGGTGAGAAAGGCATGTGTGTTTGTCAGACACATTTATTACACCAAGTTTGACAAAACTGGGTTTAGTGATTCTTGACTTAGAAAATGTTCTAAATTTAAGAACTGTGCAGAATGAGCATAATCTTAAACAGTGCACTGGCCAGCCCATTATTGTGACAGAATAATGCTAAGGGTCCTCCAGGGGTTTAAAAAGGACAGGAAGGTATCCTATCTCCAAGTACCAGCTGAGGGATTTTGCTCTTCTAAAGTTTAAGGGGGTTTGAAGCAGGAATTAGAATTTTGGAAAAGTGGAAGTGCAAAGATTAGGGTCATATTAAAAAAATTTCCAACATTGTCAGATGGTTATATGTTTATGGTTAAGTTAATATATTACAACCTCATAGATAAAGATGGCAGTTTGGATTTCAGCAAAACTTTTTGTCTAATATAACTTCTGTTGATCTTGTACCTTCACCCTGTAGAAAAAGGAATTGTTTTGAAAATGAAACTCAGCATGAAGCATAAATGCTTGTTTGAATTTTTCCCTAAAATGCAAGTTCATTTATTCACAGAACAATAGATCAAATGAGAGTACACTTTAGTATGCTTTCTTGAACGGTAACAATATGCTGTATAATTTCTTCCCATTTCATGACCTGATAGTTAAATTCCTTTTTTAAGTAACTTTGTAGTTTCAGCATGGCTTATCAGAAGCTATTAATGAACTACCATTAAGGCTGCATGGGTACAGTACGTAGCAGATGAAAGCTGCTGCAGGGCCCTGATTACAGGCATTAAAATGGTGTGTATTGGCTTACTGCTGCTTCTCAGCAGGTAACCTCACTCATAATTCCTTTGCATCTAGTCTCAGCAGGAGAAGATTGACAGAATTGAAGACCATGTCAACAATGCTGCTGTGAATGTTGAAGAGGGAACCAAAAACTTGGGGAAGGTAGGGATCTGCTCCTGCTGGTGAATCAATGGTACTCTGCCTCCCAGCAATCTTCTGTATTAACCCAATTGATCTGCCGTCTTTAATGCTGAGGGAACCAGCAATTAAGGAAATAAGGAAGAAATGACATAGGTAGTAAAAAAAAATAATCAATTTTGCTTGTAATGTTCTGTCACATCCAGTCTACAAGAAAAGAATTTCTCTGCCTAAAGTCTCATTATAAGGTGTTCTGCTGCTGCTTCCAATGGAATACCTGCAAAAACAGGCAGAGTGTTAAATGATTGGCTCATAAGACTCAAATGCGCGTGAAATGAAACTATGATGGTGACACACAATTATGTGATGCTGTACTACCTTTATGTTGCTAAGAGTTACTGATAGCCGACATACGCAATCTTCAGGCATGTTTATGAAAAACCTTCTGGGCACTTTCCAGTTACTACATTTATTTTAATGGCACAGCCCAGCCAGTGGATTCTAGACTGTAAATAAATTCAGCCACTTTGTAAAATAATTTGGTGTTCTGTTGCATAATTGGAACTGTTCAAGTTTGAAGCAGACATGGCATATTCTCTCTCACCTGTAGAATAGTGTATTTAAAAACAATGTAATTTGCAAGGTTTATTTATGTGCTAAAATCTGGATATATTGCCAAGACTAATGAGGGGAAAATGCACATCACCACAGGCATGTATTCTGAATAGATTGTTTTTGTTGTGTTTTTTTTTAACAGGCTGCAAAGTACAAGCTGGCAGCTCTGCCTGTGGCAGGTGCACTCATTGGAGGAGTGGTAGGGGGTCCTATTGGTCTCCTTGCAGGCTTCAAAGTAGCAGGAATTGCAGCTGCACTTGGTGGTGGGATTCTGGGCTTCACAGGTGGAAAATTGATACAAAGAAGAAAACAGAAAGTGATTGAGCAGCTCTCTTCCAGCTGTCCAGACCTTCCTAGTCAGAGCAACAAAAAATCTAACTGAAGTGAGGCTGGGAACAGAAGTAATATCCCCAACAATAATGACAACTTGCAGTCTTTGCTTTGAATATAAATCTGAGTCACATGAATTTGGACAACCATATTGCTGTTTTGGGGGGGGTGACAGAGTTGCTAGAACTTAAGCATTTGAGAGAGTGCCACTGAGACAAGGCAGCGCTGTAGTTTTGAAAGCTGTAAGGACTGCATTTTCATCATAGGCATATGGTGCATTACGGCTGCAGCTGTAATGATGAATGCCAGGTGTTCTGTGCCAAATTCTCCTCTTATTTTCTCTGATGACAGGAGTAGATTTAGTTGAGAGTTTAGAATAAATTTAGGAAAGCCTTGGAGCATTCTCACCAAAGCAGAGAGACACCGTAATGTTTGGAGTGTTTTTTCTAAGTGATTTAAAAAAAAAAAAATGAGTGCACTAGCTTCCAGCCAGCTTCTAAACTTCACAGTTTTGGCTCCAGCAAAATATCAGTTTGGCTGTATCCGCAAACCACCAGGTACTCTGGGATAAGTGGCACTCTATTCAACAGAAGCACAAGTCAGCACAACTTTTTACAGGTTAAGGTTGAAACGTATTGTTGCAGCTGTGGAGACAGCTTCAGTGTCCTCTGCCCGTACTGTCAAGATGGGCTGCCTTTCTAGAGCGCTACACAATCTTTATTTTCTTCTTTTAAAAGCTTATTTTTCCTACCCTTTTCTTATTGTCCTTCTTTAAATCATCTATTGCTTCTTATGAATAAACAGTTTCACTTTCCATCCCTTCCCAAGAAGCCAGTAAAAAAATTGTATAGGAGTGGTTGTGCTAGGGGTGTAGCATTCCATTATGGTCTAATCCCAGCTGGTCTTTAAAGCAGCTGTCTGGGATTGAAATTAAATTCCAAGATTTGGAACACTGACACCCTGCTTATTTAGGTATTGCCTGGCTCATTGTTGGATGCTGATGTCCCTTCTTCCTTTGCACCTTTCTAACATTCTGCCAGCAACAAAACTGCAGTGGAAGAAGTTAAAAACCAGCCATTCATGACATTTGATATTGCTGGAAGAGCAGCAATTTTTCAGTAGTTCTTTATACCTGTTCCACTGATTTAGCAAGAGCATGATGATAATTGGCATCAGTTTCTTTGCCAGGTGAGGTGGTTATAGATTACAAAGGACTGTCATATGGGTAGTCCTGGTGACTGTGCTGTCATTAGCTGATCTGATCAGAAAAAACATTTTGAAAGATGGCCAAGTCTGTTGCAGCGCCCAGGTCATGAACAGCTGGGTATGAGTAAGTCCTGTATACTGTTCCTCAGCTGGCTGTCTCCAGCCATACAGCATAATTATGCTAGTGCTTTCACTCTGTTTTTGCTTACTTCAGCAGATCCAAGCTTTGCTTCACTGGGCAGCTTGGGCCAAGATGTGTCTAGTTCTTAGAATTCAGTCAGCAAAGTTTTCTCTTCAAGGAGCTGGGGCTTGCTGTACCACCTTCACTCTCAGAGGTGTATATGGGTGTAGTTAGCTCTGGCTTGTGCCACTGTCTTCTTGGTGATACCTATTGAGGGATATCTTCCTGGGGGTATCTACTGTGCCTCATTTATCCTGCTTTTGTATTGTCAACTAGAGTCCACTTATGTCTCTGCCTCTTCCATTTTTAAATATAGTATTTTTAATGAGTTTTCAGTTTCACACAGCCCTGGCTCTTCCACACAGTCTAGCTGTGCCCCATCACTCTGCATGAGTTCCAGCACTGCTGCTGCTACTTTCTGGGAAAACACAGGATGCAAAGTTGCTTCTGGAAGATCTCAAATGGTTGGATCTTCTTGAGACCTTTTACAAATAAATATCTAAAAGGTTTTCCTAAATATTGTGTAGTTACATGTTGATGTTCAGTCCTTCATATCTTTAGGGGAGAACTATCACTACATCACTTCACTTAACAATTACTGGAGCTCCATTTTAGTAACCAACAATTGATCAATCTCTGAAAATATTGTCTTCTAATAATGGACTCTGGTTTTGGTGCCTAAATGCATTCTAAGAAACCATTAGCTTCAAGACAAGTTTCCTGTAGTTCTCTCTCATTTGTTTTACTTAAGAGTACAAACCAACTGGAACTGTGTAGATGATGTTGTCTACTTTAAATAAGACTTAGGCTCAGGGAAGCAATATGAATGAAAATGGTGTTCATAAGTAATCATTAAAATGTAAAACTAACAAAACTCCATGTATTAAGCCAAAGTGCCTTTCTCTGTAGAATTACATGGGGTTGAGAGAACCTCCTGAGTTACCTGGCTTATTTGCACGTGCCATGCAAGAAACGTGTTTTTTAAATTGCATCTATTATGACTATACACATTTATAATGAACTCATAACAACCCATAGTAGAGAAGTTTATTTCTTGTGTGATGGCCTTAGCCATTCCACTTTATCTGCCTAAATTTAGAGCGTTCTGAACCAGAAAAACCACTGCTCTCTCTAGGAATTGGAGTAGACATTGAATATATCAACTTCCCTTTACTCTACTAACTTATATGTATTTGAATGACAGCAACCAAGAGAAACTTGCCCAAACTTTTGCAAGTTGGGAATACAGCTATGACAATCCTTATGTATAGAACTGAGGACCTTCTTTTTTTCCCCCCACTAGAATAGTGACTGTAAAGTGGGATACAAAATCAGTTTAATAGATGCCCCCTTAAGAGACATTTAAAGCCACTTTGCTTCTCTCTCACATGGTTGAAAAACCAAAATCCAGTAAAAAAAACTCTACAGTTTCATTTGCATCTGGTATGCATGCAGAAACTTTGTATGCCATTAAAGCCAACACCACTGCTGGAATTGTACGATTCAATTTCAAGTCTGAGGGTTTCTTTTGAACATATGGAAAAATGTGGGCCCCCTTCATCGTTAAACCATTGCTTAAATTGCTACGGACATTATTCAAGTGTCAGAAGTACAAGGTAGACATTTTGTCAGATTAAATAAAGATTTTTTTTTGCCTTCGTTTTTATATGGTTTGTATTTTCTATTTAAAATGTGTTGTTTTCTGTTTTCATCCCAGTAGCTAAATGATCACTACTTTTATGTAAATTAACACCGCATGGATGATTAAATAATTGTATAAAACTAACATTTAAAATAATATTTTATTGAACAAGCAATCATATATGCTATCAATATTCCACTAGTGGAAGTGGCAGGACTGCAAGAGAAATTAACATTCAAATGGATAGATACACCACCTGAAACATCTACAGTATTTGGGATTTGCATAAAGTTTTGTCAGTCTCTCAAAGCCCATTTCAGTGGTAATGTATATGGATGCTGGGTAGGAAAGGGCTAGAATATTAATTTCAAGTTCTGATATAAAACGAGGTTTTGGGATTTGTTTTTGTTTCATTTAAAGTAACCCTCCCCACTATTCTTTTTTTTTTCCTTTTCTTTATACACACCAATGTTTAGCAACTGTTGATCCTTCCAGATCATGGTATATGCATGAGAAGTCACCCAGATCTTTGATGCATATGCCTAGGCAGTAGTTTTGGAGGAGCAGAGGCTGCCCAAACCTTCAATCCCCCCCCTTTGGGCCACTGAAACAGAATCAGAAGGCTAAATTGAGTCCAGGCGCTTGGTGCCTCCATGGCTGTATTTGTATAAGCATCTGAGAATTGAACCCAGGTCTCCTGTGTGACAGATGAGGATTCTACCACTGAAACACAGGGGACTCGCACACCAATGTAGGCAGAGGAAAACAGTGAGAATAGCCAGTAACTAGGGCACTTGGTTCTACATAGAAAACAAAGGTTCAAATGCCTGCTAGCTTTGAATCTCCTTAAAGAGGCACCAGAACCTGAGTTTCCCATGCTCCAGTTGTCTTGCATGCACGGCTATATTTGCTAATTTGGCTGTTTGTATTTCTGTCCCCTTCCCCGTAATTCCATTCTGGACAGAGGCGGACCTCCTGAACAAAGTTTGATCTAAACAGATGTTTTCCATTTTCTGACAAGCTTTCTTTAAACTTCGGAGCCAGTATTAATCTTATGAATAAAGTCCGAAATTGAGATATGTGCACACACTTGTCGGGGGCCTGCTATCACCTCTATACCTGAACGCATGCTGGTCTCTGTATGTTACTGACGCTCAATCACTTTCTTCTTGTTGAAGTCCCCACTACAGATTTATTTTAGTATGGTGCCTAAAAGGAAGGTAGGTGCTTGTTTCATGTACATTATTTCTCTCTCTCCCTGACTGACCTCCACGGGCAAGTTTCATCCTTGTTCGTTTCTGACAAAACACATAATATGTCACAGGCAATTTCTAGACATATTTCAATAAGTAGTGTAAACTCCCTTTGCATCATGAAATAAAATGAAATCAAAACCTGAGAGATTTCTTACAGTGATAGCTACTCTATAGCACAGGGGTCAGCAATGTTTTTGGGCAGAATGTAAAAAACACCCGCAGCTTCAGCTTGCAAGATGTTGGTGTGCCAGGGTGAATGGTGGGGGCACCGCAGCACCACATACCGCATGTTCAGCTGTTCTCCATATTGTAAGGGAGTGGTGGGGGGGAGCTGGCCCCTGGATATCCACTGCTGCAGCCCCAGGATCCCAGGTATGGCTGCTGGGGCCAGCCCAATGCTAGCCCTAGCTGCCCCGCCTCCCACCCTCTGCCCCCCAGTAGCCTGTCGCATGCCAGAGCACCCATGGCATAGGCGTTCCCTGGGGATAACAGCAGCACAAGGTACACCGCTGCTAGTTGCCCTGGTGAAACAAATGTCCATGCATGTCTGAATGTGGCCCTTGGTTTTTTAGGTATAACATAGGCTGGCATGGAACTGTCCACTATCACTATCCCATCACCAAAACGGAATACTTTTTTTGATTACCTACAATTCTTCCTATGTTCAGCTCAAGGTATCATAATGCAGTATGAAGGAGGCTGTTACCTGTGGGGTCCCTGTTTTATTTGCAACAGCAATGTATGGGAATGAGGAAAAAAAAGACAGTTTTACAGTTAAGACAGTTGAATGCTGTCCTGAAGAACACAATTTTATCCCCCACTCTCTGCCAAAATGTTTCTATATAACACTGGACAAGTCCCTAAAAGGTTTTTTTTCCTTTTTTTTTTTTTTTAATGGGTGGTCAGGATTTGCAAATGCCTTGGTTTCCTTGACCAGAAGCCCTGTATTCTGATTAGCTGAAGCATGAAATCAAGGGAAGCCATGTTTTGAACACAAACTGGAAATGGGCATTTTGATAAAACGTAGAGGCCCAAGTCATGGGCCAGGCTTCCACAGTGGTAGATAACAAAAATTAGGTTCACATGGCTTCCAAATGGACACCTAAAATTCATAGGTGGTTTTTCTATTTTAATTTATATGTCAGTACCTCATCTGTAAAATGGACATAATCTGTCTCCCCTC